CAAAACTCAACCAGTATGTACATCTTTGTATCAGTACATGCTAATGAGATCAATGGAGGGAAATCACAGAACACATATTACTCAAATATGATTTGGGGACCGCAATAAGGAAGAAGAGAGATAATTAATATAGCTTCCATAACAGGGCTGATAAATCCACCAATTACACAAGCAACAACTAAGCTGACATAAAGCCTAGTCACCATAATAGATGAGTATTGTAATGGTTTACAGATGGCCAAATACCGATCATAGGCCATTATGGTAAGGATGTAACATTCTGCAGCTCCAAGAGCATGCAGGAAGTAGGCTTGTAGTAGGCATCCAACAAAGGAGAATTTTCTTTTCTTTATCCAGTAGGTCAGCCAGCATTTTTCGGAATTGTGACTGCTGTATAACAAATCTCCAGACATGATAACGCCCCAATGAAGATATACATGGGATGGTGTAGGCTGGGCACATTCTGAATGACTAAAATAATTAAAATATTTCCAGTGATGATGAACAGATAGATGATCAGAAGTACCACAAAGAATAAAATGTGAACATTTTTGAGGCTTGGTAACCCAGACAGTACAATTTCAGTAACTTTGCTATGATTGTCAAGTTGCTCCATAACCTTAATACATTGTACCTGTAATACAAAAATAGCTCAATAAAAAAGGGAAGAGGAACAGAAGTAAAAACATGGAAAGGTAAATAAAAAGGGAAAGGGATAAAAGGAAAAAAAATTGAAAATGGGAGTGAAAGGAAAAGTTGCACAGGTATGCTGTAAGGTACACATGTACACGAAAAGAGAGGAAATAGCAGGGAAAGCAGGGGAAAGAGATGGGCAAAGGAAAGAGAAAGGAAGGAATAAGACAAAGGGATGACTAAAGGGGAACAGAGACCAGAGGAATGGACTGCCCCCCCCCTTTTTGTGCAATACATACAGTGGGGCAAAAAAAGTATTTAGTCAGCCACCAATTGTGCAAGTTCTCCCATTTAAAAAGATGAGAGAGGCCTGTAATTGGCATCATAGGTAGACCTCAACTATGAGAGACAAAATGAGAAAACAAATCCAGACAATCACATTGGCTGATTTGGAAAGAATTTATTTGCAAATTATGGTGGAAAATAAGTATTTGGTCACCTACAAACAAGCAAGATTTCTGTCTCTCACAGACCTGTACCTTCTTCTTTAAGAGGCTTCTCTGTCCTGTACTCATTACCTGTATCAATGGCACCTGTTTGAACTTGTTATCAGTATAAAAGACACCTGTCCACAACCTCAAACAGTCACACTCCAAACTCCACTATGGTGAAGACCAAAGAGCTGTCGAAGGACACCAGAAACAAAATTGTAGACCTGCACCAGGCTGGGAAGAATGAATCTGCAATAGGCAAGCAGCTTGGTGTGAACAAATCAACTGTGGGAGCAAGAATTAGAAAATGGAAGACATACAAGACCACTGATAATCTCCCCTCGATCTGGGGCTCCAAGCAAGATTTCACCCCGTGGGGTCAAAATAATCACAACAACGGTGAGCAAAAATCCCAGGACCACACAGGGGGACCTAGTGAATGACTTGCAGAGAGCTGGGACCAACGTAACAAAGGCTACCATCAGTAACACACTACGCCGCCAGGGACTCAGATCCTGCAGTGCCAGACGTGTCCCCCCTGCTTAAGCCAGTACATGTCCGGGCCCGTCTGAAGTTTGCTAGAGAGCATTTGGATGATCCAGAAGAGGATTGGGAGAATGTCATATGGTCAGATGAAACCAAAATATAACTCTTTGGTAGAAACACAACTTGTCGTGTTTGGAGGAGAGAGAATGTTGAGTTGCATCCAAAGAACACCATACCTACTGTGAAGCATGGGGGTGGTAACATCATGCTTTGGGGCTGTTTTCTCTGCAAAGGGACCAGGACGACTGATCCATGTACAGGACAGAATGAATGGACCCATGTATCGTGAGATTTTGAGTGCAAACCTCCTTCCATCAGCAAGAGCATTGAAGATGAAACGTGACTGGGTCTTCCAACATGACAATGATCCCAAACATACCACCCGGGCAACAAAGGAGTGGCTTCGTAAGAAGCATTTCAAGGTCCTGGATTGGCCTAGCCAGTCTCCAGATCTCAGCCCCATAGAAAACCTTTGGAGGGAGTTGAAAGTCCGTGTTGCCCAGCGACAGCCCCAAAACATCACTGCTCTAGAGGAGATCTGCTTGGAGGAATGGGCCAAAATACCAGCAACAGTGTGTGCCAACCTTGTGAAGACTTACAGGAAATGTTTGACCTCTGTCATTGCCAACAAAGGATATATAACAAAGTATTGAGATGAACTTTTGATATTGACCAAATACTTATTTTCCACCATAATTTGCAAATAAATTCTTTCCAAATCAGCTAATGTGATTGTCTGGATTTTTTTTCTCATTTTGTCTCTCATAGCTGAGGTCTACCTATGATGCCAATTACAGGCCTCTCTCATCTTTTTAAATGGGAGAACTTGCACAATTGGTGGCTGACTAAATACTTTTTTTGCCCCACTGTATACTATGTCAGACATCAATCAACCCAATATCTGCAATCAGTGTACCTACTGGGTGTTTAATAGCTATTTTCTCCCTGTTTTAACCTGTGATCACAGCACCCGACAGAGGGAAGTCTTGCAGTATCTACCTTGTCTGTGACTCTTGTATGGTATAAGACCAAATGCAGGGATTTGCAATGGAAGACAATGCTAGAAGAATGCAAAACTGTGAAATGCATTGTGCTCATTTGTTAACATGCTTCATTCTTAGGTCTTAATGATGGTAAAACTGTAGGTTACCCTCCACCCATTGAGTGAGATTGGGTGAAAATGTAGAAGAAAAGGAACACCAAAAAGATGAATAATTGAGATGTGTTAGGTGTAAATGACTGTCTTTTATATTGAATAATGAATAATAATAATGATGAATAATGATACCCAGTGTTTTTCTGGGGGTAACAGGATCCCCTCTTCTTCAGGGTTTGCATGTATAAGAGAGCAGAATAAAACAAATGCTTTGCACTTGATTGCTGCCTTGCCATCTCATTAACTGATACTTTAATAAAACCCAGCCATGAGGCCTTTGCGGCAGCAGCTAAACCTTCCATGATCAGGTCAATCACTCTTCTGTGCCTCCAACCCCTGAAGAAGAGGAATACTGCTACCCCGGCAATGCATTTGGCAAACAACTTAGGTGATTATTTGTATGTAACAGCCTCATGGGTTCATCCATTTTGGCAGTTACTTTTTCCAGTTTTTTTTTTAATAGAAGCTGTTTAGAAGAGATTTCATCATTCAGATGTTTAGGGCATTTCTGAATTTTTACTTGTGGACCCCATTTGTAGGAAATTAATTCAGCATAAAACAGACGTCTGTATTTTTTCATATCCCTGTCTCCTCTATAAGTAAAGTCACTGAGCTAGTGTAATTTTAACTTTTGCGTGTGTGTGAACGGCTGTGAAAAACAGGTGTTAAAAGATGAACCATGGTATATTCATGTCTAAGAGGTCAGCAGGTCATAAGCTTCTTGGCAATTGGAATGCAATAAGATATGCAGTAAGAAGCAAAGAAAGAATATGTCTTTTATAAAGAAAATCATGTCTAATCTATAATATAGTTAGTTGGATAATTATTTCATATAATTAATTTTATTAGTTAGGAATATATAAATGTAAAATGCAGCGCTGTGTGATATTACCCAATGTAAGCAACAGTTATGATATAGGAATAAAAACCAGACATAAATTAAAATCACAAATGAAACGCAGTCCTGCAATAGTGCTCACTGTTTTTTTTCCAGTGCAAATGGTAGAAATGCGCACTAACCAGAAGCGTATTGATAATACGCATGTGTACAATTATCCTGAAGATTCCCCTCTCTTTCTGGTCAGAATATGGGTAGGAACTGGAAAATGTGGAGATGAAGCGCCCTCGTGTGGTGAAGATGAGGTCCCACAAGCCAGAGATATCCTTGTAGAGATGTATGGAGTAAATCCCCCTCTCTGGAGCTGGTACAAGGGTCACTCTGAGGCTGCAAAAGTTGAAAGGCTCCAGAACATGTAGGGTACCGAGCCACGCGCAGCACAATCCCGGATCCCGCAGCGAATAGAGTACGGAAGAGAGGGCGGGTACCACAGCTGTGTCTGGTTTTTATTTCTATATCATAACTGTTGCTTACATTGGGTAATATCACACAGCGCTGCATTTTACATTTATATATTTATCTTGGGACTTCTTATGCGTTTTCCTTGAATGTTCAGCTGCTGACATTTTGGAGCGCTCACTGTAGCTTTTCTGTTTATATATTAGTTAGGAATAGTGTGTGATCAGTTTTGTATCAATTATTGTTGGTTATATTTCTGCATTTATGTGATCATTGTCCTTTCTTAAAATATGTGAAGCTATTGGAGATCACGGAACAGTATCATGTATTTCTGTCGTCTAAGAGGTTTGAAGATAACGTCACACTAAGAGTTATAAGTAGAGATGAGCGAATCGAAGTATCCGAAGTGGAATTCGAGTCGAATATCGGAAAAATTTCGATTCGTGCCGAATCCGAAAAATAGCCTAATTCGGACGCGCGAATCGAAATTTTTCAGAAAATGGCGGCTGACATGTGCGGCGACGGAGCGGGGATGTCTGGGAAGGCGCGCAGACAAGGCGCGCTGACCCATAATGCATTCCTCAACATACATGTGATTGCATCAGCCAATCAGCAGCCAGCCAGCCAGCACTGTGTAATGGTCGAGCTATAAAAATCTGACAGGCTGGTTGTACTAAAATCAATCAATTGACTTCAGTGCAACCAGCCTGCCCATAGATGGATCGAAACTTGGCTGGTCCCTGCTGAACCGGCTGAGATTCGATCCATCTATGGCTGGCTTTAGAAAAGCACATGATATTTTAATCAAAAACCAGTAGCCGAAGTGGAATTCGAGTCGAATATCGGAAAAATTTCGATTCGCGCCGAATCCGAAAAATAGCCTAATTCGGACGCGCGAATCGAAATTTTTCAGAAAATGGCGGCTGACATGTGCGGCGACGGAGCGGGGATGTCTGGGAAGGCGCGCAGACAAGGCGCGCTGACCCATAATGCATTCCTCAACTACATGTGATCGCATCAGCCAATCAGCAGCCAGCCAGCCAGCACTGTGTAATGGTCGAGCTATAAATAGCGGCCATTTTGGAATTCTTCATTTGCCTGCAGTTCATTGAACAGAGGCAGACCGCTCTGTACTAGGGACAGGGACAGAGTTAGGGCCACAGAAACGATAATTGGGGACAGAGAAAAGTTACTTAGGGACAGAGAACCATTACTCAGGGACACAGACTTGTTAATGAGGGCCACAGAATCGTTATTTAGGGACAAAGAAACGCTAGTTAGGGCCACAGA